TCTGGGAGTTGAAGTCCACCCATCTTAAAGTGGCTGAGATTGAGAAACACTGCCTTAGTACATAGGGTAAGCCAGCAAAATCTCTCTTAGTTATGCTCTTTGCATTTTTTTTCTTTCATCCTTTATATTTTTTGCATCTTTTTTGTAGCCCGGCTCCCAGTTTCCGTCATTTCCACATTTCAAACTTCTGGCAGAAGTCTGCCCTCCAGAAAAACAGGCCCCCTTTACAAACCAAGTTGTGATTGCTTTCCCCCGATCAAAGTGTTCTCCTCCCTTCGGTTCCAATGCGCCTTATGTGCAAAAAAGGCTAAGAATCATAAGAATCACCTGGGGTCCCTTGAAGTCCTAAACTCTCAAAAATCCGATTTCAGGTACAATTTTACGTTTATACTGCAGTCCCGGGAATGAGAAAACTCACCTCTTCTGCATCAGGGAGAGTTTTCCACTTTTTATGAATGAATTCACCTTTTCCCCCTTAGAATTTTAAAATACCATAAAAGTATAAAAAATTAAAGGTAAGAAAAAAAATAAGAAAAAGGAAAGAAACAAAAAAAGAAATATGATGACTTCCACCCTTTTTTCTATCCATTTTACCATTTCTCCTCCCTCTTTTTTCCCTCTTACTTTGAAATTCCATTTTCCTTCCCTTTTAACCCCTTTTAGTCCTCAGATCCGTAAATCATCCATTCAGCCTTTTCTTCTTTCAACCAAAAGTCCATATAAGGTTTCCAGGCTTTCAAAAAAGGTTTTATTGTTTTTTTCCCTGACCTAGAGAGCTTCTCACTTCTACACAGTTACGTGCAAAGTCTACACTTGGGTGGACGGAAGGACCAGGTCTCTTTTGAAAGCCTTGAAATTTTCCTTTCTCTTGCTAGGTTGTCGACAATGTGAGCAACCAGACTTCGTGCCGGCTGGCGGGCCTAAGACCCGGGACGGTGTATTTTGTCCAAGTCCGCTGCAATCCGGTTGGTATCTACGGTTCAAAGAAAGCCGGCATTTGGAGCGACTGGAGCAATCCCACGGCAGCCTCCACGCCTCGGAATGGTGAATAGGCCCATTCCTCTGTCCCCACCTTTGCAAATGTGCCGGCGTTCTGCTGGCTAGTGGTCTGGTCACCGTGGGGAGCACCAGAGGTCCCCCCAAGCGGAGTTCCTGCTGCTTCGCCAGGTGCCTGCGTTCTCCTGGCGAGCTTCTTGGGAACCCTTCCAGCTCGCAGCTCAGAGCCTCTGTCACGTTCCTCTTTCCAGAAATCTGAGTAGACGTCCTGAGAATCTGATTATATGTCAGAAGTAGGCTTGTGCTGTGTTTAGAGCCTTGGAAGAAATCCTGGTCTTGTGGAATGCCCTGCACCTGGGTTTCTTGTTCCAAAGCCAGCTGAGAAGTCCACAAGTACTTGGACATCAAATGCGGCACCAACTCCTCCATTCTTCCCACATCCTTCTGCTCAAATCCTGGCTTTTAGGACACCTGATGGTGGGAGGGGGAGGAAGGAGGGACGATCCGCCACTTTTCCTGAAGAGAACATATATTCTATTCCCCATTTTCATCATGCACAAGATTAATCTCTGTCGGGATGACTTAGTTACTGAGGACGGGGTGAGGATGAATCGCGTGTGTAAGAACAGATAATTGAGATGATTTCAGGGTGAAGTTGGGGAGGTAAACGAAAGCATGCAATCTAACTTCTTTAAAAAGGAATGAAACAGGCAAGCCACATGTGGATTTCTCCCTGTGAAAATGATGGTTGAGTTTCCAAGGTTGTCCATAAAATTGTTTGCTATTTTTTATTTTGATATACCCTGATTTATCTTGGAAAGTGAGTAAGACAGCTTGCAAATCAATGGTTTAAAGCAGCCTTTCAACATACCATACACTAGATCAGTGTTTCTCAACCTTGGCAACTTTAAGACGTGTGGACTTCAACTCCCAGAATTCCCCAGCCAGCCTGGGGAATTCTGGGAGTTGAATTCCACACGTCTTAAAGTTGCCAAGGTTGAGAAAAACTGCATTAGATGTATGTGCATATGCATACATTAATTTATGTATGAAATTAAAATAGCAATTATCCCATAGCACGACTACCCAGATGGGTTAGAAGCCTAGATGCCCTATTTACACGCCGTAATAAAGTTGGTTAATTTTAATATTTGTTCGTTTTTTGGTGTGTTTCAGTTACTATATAATTCAGTGTATAATGCAAACCCAGGAATAGGTTCCTTACAGTCAGGTTAAAAGCATTTTGTGAATGCAGCTGCTGAGTAGCCTTCTTTAAAAAATCTTCACCGATGTCTTGCTACTTGACAGTTTGGAAGGAATGGGCTTCCTGCAGGACCTAGACGCTGCATTTTAAAAAATACCACTTTGCTGAATGTAGGAACTGTTTTGCCAGTTCCAAAACATTAGTCCAGCGTTTTGTTTCTTCAAATTATAGCAGGTGAAGTCCAGCATCTTTTGACTGGCACAGGTTGGTGAAGAATGCCTTAGAACAGTGTTGTCCAAACTTGGCCACTTTAAGATGAGTGGATTTCAACTCCCAGAATTCCCCAGGCTGGCTGGG